GACTTTTAATGATGGCTTCTATTTCCTTAGGGGCTATAAGTCTATTTAAATAGTTCATCTTGACTTGATTTAATTTTGGTTTGTGGTACCTATACAGAAAATTGTCCTTTTAGGGCTTCCAATTTTGTGGAGTATAGGTTTTCAAAGTATGACCTCATGATTCTCTGAATTTCCTCAGTGTCTGTGGTTATGTCCTCCTTTTCATTTTTGATTTGGTAAATTTGGAAATTCTTTCTCTGCCTTTTGATTAGTTTGGATAAGGGTTTGTCTATCTGGTTGATTTCATTGGTCTTTGTATTTTATTGATTTCAGCCTCAATTTGATTATTTCCTCTTGTTTATTTCTCCTGGGTGAGTTTGCTCTTTTTTGTTCTAGAGCTTTCAGGTGTACTGTTAAGTCGCTAGTGCGAGATTTATCCATTTTCTTTAAGTGGGCACTTAGTGCTATGAACTTTCCCCTTAGCACTGTTTTCACAGTGTCCCATAGGTTTGGGTATGTTGTGCCTTCATTTTCATTGAATTTTAGGAAGTCTTTAATTTCTTTCTTTATTTCTTCCTTGTCCTGGGGTGATTCTGTTGAGCATTGTTCAATTTCCATGAGTTTGTAGATTTTCTTCAATTAGTGTTGTTATTGTTGAATTCTAACTTTAAGCCATGGCGATCCAATAAGATACAGGGAGTTATTCCATTTTGTGTGTGTGTGTCTGTTGAGGTTTGCTTTGTTACTGAATATGTGGTCAATTTTAGAGATGGTTCTATGAGGTGCTGAGAAGAAGGTATTTTTTTTTTGTGTGTGTGTGTTTGGGTGACAACCTTTGTAGATGTCTGTTAAGTCCATTTGAGTCATGACATTTGTTAGTTCTGTTATTTCTCTGTTTAGTTTCTATACGGCTGACTTGTCTGCTGGTGAGACTGGGGGTTTGATGCCTTACATGTTTTTAAAGGAAATGCTTTCTTTCTGTAGGGATGGAACTTAGGGTCATGTGAGCCAGGTAAGTAATTTCCCACCGAATTATACCCCCAGCACTGGGAAGTGGGTGCTGACAGACAGGGATGAACAAAACAGAGACTTTGGAGACTCGGGAAGGGAACATGCAGGGATATTCCGACCCAGCTGCTCTGTTAGGTCCTACAGGTGGGACTGTCAGTTCTGAGAGCGTATGGATTCTAGTGAACTGAGCACTTGTTCCAGGGTTGTCTGCAATGCTGTGACCATTGTCATCTGAGTGTCTGATGTTGGTCCTGCATGAATCTTGCTCTGGAGGGAATCCTACATGCACATAATAAACAAACAAACAAACAAGCAAATATATTTATATATGCAGTTTTGGCGAGTTTCTGTATCTTTTAAAAATTTTTGACATTATTTATTTTGTGTGTATGGAGGGGATTGGGGGCACTACAGGCATGTAGAAGTCAGAAGACAACTTCCTGAAGTAATTTCTGTTCTTTTACAATGTGATTGGGGGCTTAGATCTTTAGACATGGAAACATGTACCTTTACCTACTAAGGCACCTCACCACCCGTCTTTTAAAAGATCTCTCTCTCTCTCTCTCTCTCTCTCTCTCTCTCTCTCTCTCTCTCTCTCTCTCTCCATCCATCTGTGTGCATGCACCATGAGTGTGGCAGTTTTTCCCACCTGCTCTACTCTATTCTATCACAGGCCAGGCAGATTCTTTATTCATTAACCAATGATAGTCACAGCATACAGAGGGGAATCCCACGTCACAGCTCACAACTGCAGGTTACCACAGCTCTCTCTAAGGAGTCTAACACCTTCAAATGCATCTACCTACTTATCCATACTCACATATACCATAAACAAAAATAGAATAAATCTCTTCAAAATTAAAAAAAAGTTAGACTGTTCTATGACTCCCACACTACCTTTGATGTATTGGCCCCTTTGTCTCCAAGGGACATCTCCTTGATGCCTTCTGTCCATAACAAAATCAACACCAGAAGCATAGGGGATTAAGAAGCCATTGCAGATCCTGTATTAATGGCACAGGTCTGCTTGATTTCCTTCCTCCCTTCCTCCTCCCTCCCTCCCTTCCTCCTCCCTCCCTCCCTCCCTCCCTCCCTCCCTCCCTCCCTCCCTCCCTCCCTCCCTCCCTCCCTCCCTCCCTCTCCCTCCCTCCCTCCCTCCCTCCCTCCCTCCCTCCCTTCTTTTATTGGTTTTTCAAGACAGGGCTTTTCTGTGTAGTCCTGCTGTTCTAGAACTCACTTTGCACACCAAGCTGGACTGGAACTCAGAGATCTGCCTGCCTCTGCATCCCTGACATGCTGGGATTAAAGGAGTATTCCACAATAACCAGTGGTCGTGTAGGCCTTTAGTCCCAGCGTTGGGGAGGCAGAGACAGACAAATCTTTGTGAGTTCAAGGCAAGTGAGTTCCAGGTTAACCAGGGCTACATAATGGAACTCTGTCTCAAACAAGACGAAATTGCAAACAGGGGTTAGAGAAATTGCTTTGTGGTGCTTGCTTCTAGTGGACGAGGACTCTCTCCTAGAACTCATATCAGGAGGCTCTCAGTTATTTGTAACACAAACTCTGAAAAATTGGAGGCCCTTTCCTGATCTCGGTGGACACATCCGCTCATGTGGCACACTCATACAGACACAGACATTCATATCAAAACAAGACAGAGCAACACACCACAGAAACGGCTCTTGTTTTCCGGGTAGGGGATATCTAGTCTAGGAAGGGAACTCATTAATGCAAGCAGAGCCTGCAGCCCCGCGCCAGGTTCTTCCTCAGGGCCACCCTCACCTCCTTGTTCCTCAGGGTATAGACCACAGGGTTCAGCAATGGAGTCACCACCGTGTAGAACACCGCCACCAGGCGGTCCTGGGAGGGGTTGGCCCCAGAGTCTGGCCGCAGGTAGATGATGGAGGCACAGCCAAAATGCACGATGACTACAGTGAGGTGGGCCGCGCAGGTGGAGAAGGCTTTGCTCCGGCCCGCGGCCGAAGGGATCCTCAGGATGGCTGCCACGATGAAGGCGTAGGAGAGGAGGATGAGGAGGAAAGAGAACAGCACCACGAGGATGCTCAGAAAGAAGATGCCGAGCGCCTTGTGCGTGCTCTCTGCACAGCTGAGCTTCAGCACAGGCGCGATGTCACAGAAGAAGTGTTCCACGCGGCCCGTGCCGCAGAAAGGCGAGGAGAAGATCATGCAGGTTTCAACCACGGCCACAGAGAAACCAGAGCAGAAAACCAAGGCTCCCAGACATAGGCAAACGGTGGGACTCATGATCACAGAGTAGCGCAAGGGATGACAGATGGCCACGTACCTGTCGTAACCCATCAGTGTGAGGAGGAAACAGTGGCTGCATCCCAAGCCCAGGAAGAAGAACATCTGGGCCCGACAGCCCGCGATGGAGATGGCCTGGCTCTCCATCAGCAGATGGGCCAGCATATTGGGGATGGTGAACAGCGTGTAGCAGGTCTCAGAGAGGGAGAGCACAGCCAGGAAGCGATACATGGGAGTGTGGAGGGTGCGGTCCACCTGGATGATGGTGATGATGGTGGCGTTGCCACTGAGTGTGACCAGGTAGGTGAGGAGGAACAAGGTGAAGAGAGTGGGCCTCAGTTCTGGGAGGTTGGAGAATCCCACCAGCACGAACTCTGTCACCAGCCGGGTCCCATTGTCCTGCTGCTTCTCAGGAGCCTGGGAGGAGATAGGATCACTGGGACAATGCAGGTCATGAGGCTTGGCTAGGTCTCAGGTGGGGGTAGGAGAATCATCACTGATGTGCAGACAGGACAGAGGGACTCAGAAATGAATGAGCAGTTATTACCCAGTCAGCCAGGTGTCTCAACATGTAAGAAGATAAGAATTAGCCAGATGGTGGAGGTGCATCCCTTTAAGCCCAGCACTTGGGAGGCAAATGTCTCTCTGAGTTCAAGGCCAAGCTGGACTACAGAGTGAGTTCCAGGACAGCTAGGACTCCAGAGAGAAACCCTGTCTCAGTAAAAATAAGAAGAGGAGGAGGAGGAGGAGAGGAGGAAGAGGATTTACGAAGCAGGGCCTGGAGAGAGCTCAATGGTTAAGAAGATTTCCTGCTTTTCCAGAGGATAAGACTGGATGCTTAGGCCTATAACTCCAACTCCAGGGGATCCAGCACGCTCTCTGGTCTATATGTATACCCACACATACATCGCATACATTCACACAACTGCGTACCCACACATAAAAATAAATCCTTTTTTTTAAGTATTCACAAGGAAAGTGCTTTTTGTTTGCTGTGTTTTGTTTTGTTAAGCCTACAGCACCAGGTATTCCCAAGTCTCCAATCCAAGTACAAACTCAGCCTGACTCAGCTTTGATCCAAGAGCAGACCAGATTGGGAACATTCAGGGTGGTTATACCTTAGACACAAAGCAAAGATCTTTAGATGGAGGAAGAAGACAGTAAGTCCCTTTGTGGTTTCATTAAATCGAGAAAGAGACCCTAGATGAGGACCCAAGGACCAACAGTCTGTGAAAATAGAAGTAACCCGGGGACAGCAGACAGCCAATAAATGACGTACTATTGAGGACATGGCTGAGGAAATGGCTCAGTGGGTCAAAGGCTTGCTGTGCACGTGTGGGGACCTGCCTTTGAGTCCCCAGAACCCACTTGCAGTCCAGAGCAAGAGTACAGCCGTAATCCCAGAACTCCAGTAGTGATGAGATAGAGACAGGAAAATCCCCCAAAGCTTTAGGGCCAGCTAGCCTACTCTAAAAGCATCAAAAATAAATCCTGTCTCTCTGGGCGGTGGTGGACATGCCTTTAATCCCAGCACTTGGGAGGCAGAGGTAGTCGAATCTCTGTGAGTTCGAGGCCAGCCAGGTCTACAAATGCTAGTTCCAGGTCAGGTCTAAAACTACAGTGAAACCCTGTCTCACAAACAAACAAACAAAAAAAAAAAAAAAAAGAAAAAGAAAAGGAAGATAGAAAGAAATAAACCCGGTTTCACAATGAGAACCCTAAGTGAGACATACATAGATCTAATCTACATGGGAAGTAGAAAAAGACAAGACCTCCTGAGTAAATTGGGAGCATGGAGACGGTGGGAGAGGAGGAGGGGAGAGGCAGGGAAGGGAGCAGAGAAAAGTGTAGAACTCAATAAAAATCAATAAAGAAAAAATAAAGCAAGCTAAACAAGTCAGGAGGAGTAAGCCAGTGATTAACATTCCTCCATGACTTGGGCTTCAGTTTCTGCATTCAAAGAAAGAGGAGAGAGAGAGAGAGAGAGAGAGAGAGAGAGAGAGAGAGAGAGAGAGAG